ATTTTTAGAACCAGGTTTTAATCTCTGTGGCATGTTGTCCTCCTGTGAACATGCTAAAACTCTTGAGTCTGCCTTCACTTTTTAGTATTTTGCAAGTAAACTAAGAAATAGGTGCAAAAGTTTACCGTGACAAGTGCAAACATACATGGAAAAAGAGTATTTAAGGGAAAAACAGAGTTTGTACAGTTCAACCCTTTTTTTTTTTTATGTCAGTCTTCAGAAATGACTTCCTGTGAGTGAAACAGTTTATAGTTAGTGTTTAAAATACTCCTCCATGAAGAAACATCCTGAAGAGTTACCAACAGTTACCAAAAAAAAAACAAACTATAGAGTACAATATGAGGCCTGATTTGTTCAAAGAGTATTTTCCAAGTATTTAAATATTCATCCCATTTTATTTATTTATGATAGAACGGGTAGTGACAGAAAATAACCATAGTTACTAACCAGGGATGTTCCCTGGTTAGTAACTATTTCATGTTTCACCTGTCTCCTTGTTATTGAAATACACATTATTGCACTTGCTTGTGGCTGTCGTGGTGTAAATAACTTACTAAACTCATTTGCAATTGATTAGTTAACCTGCCAGTTAACACTGCAGTCATTAACAAAGTAATCTTGAGGTCAGTTTTCTATAAGTTTTATCATCATTAAATTAATAGACTGGTGGTGTAAATGTGAGGAGGTGGTGCTGGTTCTTTTTTTTTTCTTTTTTCTACAGACACTCAGCGGGGGACCAAAAAAATAAAATAACCTATTTCCCATTCCTACAGGAAAAAAATCAATCATTAACAGCCAGGATGTTCCCACTGCAAGCTGTATTATTCACACAACAGGCTGGACAAAGGATCGAAATATCTGACGCCTACCTGCGCACTGAAATGCAACGTGGTTATTTCATCGACAGAGAACAAACTGGGAAGAGTGTTGGCAGCTAAAATATCAGACAGATGCTGAATTACAATGACATTCTTCTCTCCTTCGGTTTGGTGCCTGTACAGCTGACAAAGGTAGGTGTGAAGCAAATTTAAAGAAAAATAAAAAGAGGGAAACTTGACAGAGAAGTTGGGTGACTTTGTGTGGACGTGTTCCAACTACTTTGATTTTAACTGAACTTTATTTTTTCTTTCTTGTTTTTTTTTTTTTTTTTTTGCAAAAGTAGGACAAGAACATAGGACATCAGTTCTGGCTGATTACCCTGACCATTCAAACAGAAGTGCCCACAAGATCCAAGAGAGTTATCCTGATACAAGTGGACATAATTGCCAATTTCAGCAGTGTAACAGAAAGTTCTATTACCCATTATTGCTCCTAGGAAATAAATAAGAAAACTGAAATGATAGCAAAATAAAAATATTACTTTTTAAGCACTCTTGCTTACTCTGGGCCATTTTCTTTGATGTGTGTGATCAAAAGGCATAGAGCACTGTGAAATGAGCTCTCTCAGTGAAGATGGTGGTATTGGTGTAACACAATGTGTTCATGGCCTGTGTACTCTTTGCCTTTTTGATCAGGTTAGAAGCTGTGTGCGCACGTGTGTGTGTGTGTGTGTGTGTGTGTGTGTTTGCAGGCAGACTGTTGCAGTCTTACCCTGTGGACTGTTATCTCTCTGTGTTCTCTCCAGCTCAAAAGCTCTCTGCCCCCACTCCTCCTCTCTCTCATCTCTAGCCCTCTCCAGCTCTTTCTCCCTCATTTCTTCGCCTTCCCAGGACACTTTGTGGGCCGGGCTATGCTCTGAGCGGCAAGCAGATGCTGAAGGGAGATTGGGTGCCACACTGCACACTGCGACGCCCCGCCTATTGGCCATACCTCGGACATTAGACATGTCTGAGAGGAAGCTGCTAATCTGCAGAGACACAAGAAAATACCCAGAAAGTTCGGGTAAGGGCAAGCCAGGTAGTTACTATTCAGAAACTCGAAATGCAAACAAATTTATACAGGATTTCATGCGTTATTACAAAACAAATCATTATTTCATTCTTTGTGCAATTACACGCACAATCAGAAACATACATAAATTATCAAATGATTGCTTTTTGTAAAAACAATACAATATTCTGCACTGGTGTACGACCTTTATATTTTATATTTTATAATTCCAATTGATTTTCTGATACCATTAGTTGTTTTTCTTAATTATTGCCATGAAAGAAGAACTGGGTCATCACCCTATCTGAAGGGCCACACACATGATGAAGTCGCTGCTGTGAAGCCTATTTTAGCCCATCACATGCAGAATTGACTACAAAGAAGACATGAACATGATTATTAAATGTGAGCAGACTTTCTGTATCCTGTAAGCTGATTATCTACATAATAGAGCAAATGTGCTGGGAACATTACTACTTTTTAATCTACCTATATCGTCCTTGTGTTATATTTGATATCAAAACCTAGTTCCTGCCATAAAAACACAGTTTTTATAGTTGAGCTGTGTGTGGAGCCCATGTATACTTTCTCCAGCACACTGTGGTTGTTTGTCCCAAAGGCTGTTTTTAAAAAATGGACTAATATAAGAAATAATATTCTTTATTTTAAATTACAATATAAATTCAGATAAATTAAGGAAGAGCAGCATTATCAAAAGGGACTGATGAGCTGGGAGATATGACGCTCCACAAATATTGATATTGTCATATAAAGTGGATTTTACTTTGGATGCTCATCGTTATAGTTTAATATTAAAACTTAAATACTCTTATTTTAAAGCATATAATTCCTGCTTAACAACCACATTATTCATGTGTTTTCCTAAATGGTCTGACCAACTATTTTTTAGATATTAGCAGTATGAACATATTCAGATATTTAACTTTGTCACAATTTTGTATTTTCCGCACCATTTACTATAAAGCAGACACATAAATATCATAATTAAAACAAGCTATGCACACCTGACTGCCTTCACTGGAAGTGGTCCTGTCACCACTGAGTCCTCCTGGTAGAGGGGAGTGGGCAGTTGGGCGCACCATGACCTGGGGAGGGCCCACACTGCTGCCTCCCACCTCACCATAGGTGCTTGTGGTTGCTGGTGAGCCTGATACACGAACGGCTTTAAACTCAATCCCTTCTGCTCCCATGCCAGTCTTGTGCAGCATGTAGCTAGTTTCTGTGGAGATAGCCGAGATGCCCATCCCAGTCTGAATACCGGGGCCTGGATCTGAGTCTTTCCTGAATTTGATTTTTTTCCTAAAGACGATGAAGAGTATGAGGAGGAAAATGATGACAAACGCAAGGACTCCAATGCCAATTATCTCTCCTGGTCCAACGTAAGACAAAGGCTCAGCCTGCACAACAAGAAAAGTAAAATTATTAAAATATTATAATATTATAATAATTTTTTTCTAGTTGAATAACGAACAGTTAAGTGTCAGAAAATCTCTAAGGTCATCAGTAAATACACAGATAAAAAGTTGAAAGAAGAACAAGCTTAGAAATAATTCAATAACACTTCATAAAAAAGGTCTTTGTTGTCAGATGATTAACATGAAAATGAAGTGCTTCTTCCAGCACCAAAAGAATTACCCAAACATACAGTGCTGTGCAAAAGTCAGTTCTTTAGATTGTTAAAAAGTTGTCTTCTCTTGAGCGTTCTGTAGGTCTTTGAAACTTTTCCTTTACATACGAGCTTTCACTCCTTTCAAATCAAGTCCTTGTCCCTGACCATTTTCAGAGGAATGTTTTTTTTTCTTAAGCCACTTAACACTCACCTGTGAATCATTCAAGCATAAAAAAGACACCTTAATCAAAGGATGAACTAGCGCCGTGCCCACATATAAGAGAAAACCTAGCAAAAAATCAATTTGAAATTAAATTTTAGGCATTTTTTACTAGCATCCTATCATAAAAACACATTGTTTTGTTCCCAGTCGTTCAGTCCAACCACAGAAAATGCAGAGTAACAAAGTTTGACAGATATAAAATTCTGTTTTTGCACCAAAAATTTAGATTCCCAGAGAGCTATTAGCCGAAAAATAGGCATATCTTGGCATGGTGTATATATATTTGAGGAAGCTGGACAAGTGAATGACAAAAGAATAAATATCTACAACAGTATCTGAAAGTCATGTCCTTAAGAAATAGGAAAAATTTACAGGACCTGACAGGAACATAGTGAAGTTAGTTTGCCCCCAAAATGTTTAATACTATCAAAGGGGGCTCATATTAAACCCCCAAACAATTTCTAAATGTTTGTTATTACTCTAAACACAAGATTAATAAGAATCTCATCGCTACATCTGAGACGCTAATTAGCAAAGTTTTGAAACACAAAGCATCTTTTGAGTATTGAAGTAAATGAAATTTTGGTATCGGGAAAATTCATCATCTAAAGCTGGGTATATTTACAACCCTTATGCACTCACTACTCCAAAAGATTATGAGCACATTTTATGGTCTTCCAATTTGGAGGGAGCGATTGAGCTCACAGCTTTTTTGTTTTAATGCAATGCGTGATGAATAAGTTTCGGCAATAAAAATATACATTATCTCTAATGCAAGCACTCAATTAAAAAGAAAAACAAACAAACAAAGAACAAAGTTAACATACATTAGCTGTAAAAGAAGCTTAGTAGATTTTGTCAACTGTGCTGCAGTCCTCCAGGGATTAATTAAAGTACCTTCCTTCTTATAATGTGCCACATTAATTGGGTTTGCAGTCTCAGTATAAGGTATATGGCACAATAAATTTAAGAGCATAACAACTTCAAATAGAAACAGCAATTTAGGCATTACTACACTCTAATTTATCTGCTGTGGGAACAAAGATACCAAGCTGCTGAATAAGCCTTCCAGGGGCCTGCTGTAAAATCAAAATTCTCAATTTCACTGTGTATGCCAAGTCTAATTAGGTGCGAGCTGAATGCACAAAAAAAACAATTCGAGGAGTTTTCTCATTTTTCATTTATTCTGTAACATCTACAAAAATCCAATTCCAAGCGTCGCTCATACGCTACCTGTGTGTCATCCCCAGGATCACCAGGCGTCAGATCATCGCACAGCTGACCCTCGTACCCTTCTGAACAGTTACAGTAGAATGACCCGAATGTGTTCACGCACTCTCCTCCATTTCCACACGCTTCCTGGTCACACTCGTTGACGTCGTCGTCACATCTGTGGCAGCAAAAACGAGTAAGTAAAGCTGCTATGGGGGACCGCAGTGAATATGATGTTATCAAAGTTAAGAAAAAGGAAGAATGCAAAGGTGAGAGTGAGCTAAAACATTTAAAACTTTTTAGAGAATGTTTCTTTTCCCAAATGCTGGGAAGATTCCCTATTATTTACATTTAGACGGTTCTGATTTAAAGAATTATGCATGAATGCAAAAAACATGAACACACACTCCCACTGAAGAAGCAAATTTCCGCTGAACATCATAAAAGTAATTTTACTGCAGACACATACATGCTCATCTCAGCTTGTCATTTCAAGCATGGTGTCCTGCTGTGCAGCGGATGGAAGATACATGCAATTCTCTTTTCAATTATTTTCTCTTTGATGGGATTTTCAAAACATTTTGCAAGTCTGACGGAAGAAGGATTTTGCAGAAAGCTTCATGGCAGAACTTTCCAAAGTTTGGCTTTTAAATGATAAAAGTGCAGGTCACAGCTTAGTCATTAATTATACAAACTATACTCATTAAGGCCTGGATGTGCTGGCCAGTGATATCCTCTCATTATTATTTTAAGCGATGAATACTTTATCCCATAATTAAAAAAGTTAATGAACTTGTCTCACATTAGTTTTATTAACCTATGAAATAGATTAGTAATAATGAGAAAATGTCAACTTTTGTAGCTTTTTCAATGACAAAATTCTATATTGTATTTTTTATTGTAATGCATATATTTTAGTGCTGGAAGAAAAAAAACAACAACAACTCCACAGTCAACTGAATTCAACAGCTATTTGGTTGTAATGGTTTCAATCTGTGTTTAACATTAATTATTAATGATATAAACAATCTGGTGCCTGAAAATAACAATAACATTTTGTCCATAGTTTTATTAGTGTAAGGATAATTGAATTTAAATTAATAAAATTAGTTTTTAAAATCCAAGTCAAAAGCATAAAAAAGCCAAAAACAAAACAAAAAAATCCTCTGTGGGGGAAAAGTGCCCTCTGCTGGTGGCTCTGTGGAACAGACGCATTAGCAGAGAGGTTATTTCAAAGGCAATTACTAAGCTGTAATTAAGAAGACAGCTAGAGAATGATTATGGGCTTTTCAACTAAAATTATGCAGAATTAAATTAGAACCACTAACCCCCCCCCCAATAACAACTAATGTGTGCTAATGAATGGGATTTTGAGTCCAGCACATGCTCTTTCATGTTTTCACTGAGAGGGAGGGAGATACAGACGTTGAGTATCTTAATAATCAGCACCGTACGGCTCTCATTGTTTACATACTTTCTAAACAGGACACAGCATTTGTCAACACTGCTGTTACAGCCGGTTATTAAGGCTAGAAAGTGTGAGCGATTCCAGGCTATTATATCTTACATAAGTCCCCCGAGTCCAGGAGGACAGCCACAGAGGAATGCGCTGCCTACAGGCTTGCAGTCTCCACCATTCTGGCAGGGGTTTGGCATGCAGGATGTCAGTTCAATTTCACAGCGCCCCCCAGTGAATCCAACACTGCAAGTGCACATAAAACCTGTGGAAGAGATATTTTACGTGTCTGAAAATTATAACTAATATCAACTATTATGCATAATACTCATAAATGATAACGATCAATGATAAAACAACAAATTATCAAAATAAAATGATTAAAAACTGTAAAAAACAGAGTAAAAACAAAGTAATGAATGTGTCCCACAGCAAGGCACATACACATGATCATGTTTTTTGTATATATACACACACCTCCAGAGGGAAGGCTACTGCAGATTGCTCCGTTGAGGCAGGGCTGACTGACGCATGGATCTGGGTAAAGCACGCAGCCCAGTTTGACCTCGCTGAGCCCTGCTATCTCAGCATAACGGCTCCTTTTATTCTGGAGCGGCAGCTCATTTCCGTTCAGCATCAGCGAGCCCAGGCACCCCTGGAAGCCATCCTGAGCTCTCGGAGGGCCCCTTACGCCACGCTCTGCAAGCCCTGGCCCTTCCTGGCTCCTTCCTGACCCAGGGCCTGGCCTCTCACCTTGCCCATTTAGTGGCCTGACTTGGGCCCCAAAGAAAAATGATGAATCTGGTGCCAAAGGCCAAAGACGAACCGGGGCTCTGGCTGCCCGGCGACGTTCCACATAGCTGTCATCCAATGACAGGAGAGTGTAGTTCATAGTCAGCTCCAAAGTGACTGCATGCCACAGGCCATCATTTATCGGTCTGCCAGAGATACCCATAATGCCAAGGGTGTTGTCACAGTCCAACTGAAACCAGAGTCGACCGCCTTCAATCTGTGGAAGGAAAGAAAAGTAATGGAACTAAATAATTTGCAGTGCCTCAATAATGCTATGCTTTTTATTAATAATAAGTGTTATAAAGTTATATAGTGTAGTATTAAGTGGACACAGCCCTTAAAAATAAAGGCATGAGACCATGTGTCCTTGGGGAGTAGAAAGCTGCAGACTCTCGCTCACGCTTGCCTGGGAAAATGTAGATAAGAGGGGACCAGCTCTAGTGGAAAGTTACTGAGACAATGTTGTTTAGATTAGAGTTAGAGAGCTTCTGTAATAAAACTGTTAGTGGCACAACACCATTTTGAGATCCGCAGTAGCATGTCATGCAGGACGCATCTCCCTTCTAGAAGTAATAAAGTGTTAAACGGTCTACTGAGCAGTGTTTTGTCTTCCATCGGATGCCTTTGAGGACTCAAAAGAACTCGGTGAAGTGTGATATTATATAACAAAAAGTTACATCTTCTGAATAATACCTGATGATGTTTTTTAAAAAAACACTTACTGAGAAACATGTTTCCTTCTAACAGGAAATGAGCAGCTAGTGTTTTGCATGACCCCCAAAAAAGCATAGCCCTGTAACCTCTACCTTAAGCATGGTGCAGGGGTTAACCCGTGTGAACATAATGACTCCTCTTCTCTGAAGTGTTCTGATCCTGAGGCCGAGCTTCATCTCTCCACTCTGGCCACTCGCTGTCACTCTGTACTTGATGTAGCTGTTTCCAGAGAAACTCAGCGAAGTCTGGCCTGCACATTTGCAACACACAGAAAAAAAGTTTCGCGGGAAAAGTTTCAGGTTACACTAAACCTCATCAAGCTAAATCAGAAAGACAGAAGTTATACAAACTGCAGGCATGCCAAAACACACCTGCACAGTCATCTAGTCTCTCAGGCTGACACTGGCAGACAGATGGCGCAGTAGGACCAGAACGCACACACTGCATATCAGCTGGACAGGACTGACCTTCACAGAGCTCCACAGGGGTGGGGCATGTCCCTCCTGTTTGAAAAGGGGTAGAAATATAAATATTATTTGTCATCATGTGAAAAGCCTTCAGATTTACATTATTCTTTCATTAATTTATTTATATTTGCATGCATAATATATGCCTCTGTAGTTTTTGTATTTCCTTTTTCATAGAATGCAAAATGTATACTACATAAGCAAAAATTCTGTATGTTTCCATTCAGATATTTCAGGATTTTACTGATTTTTATATGAAAACTATCAACCAATGCCGTTCATGAACTGATGATACGTGTTTGTGACACTGACTCTGTGAAGGTTCAAAAATGAGTGTAGTACAAACCGGGACAGGTGCAGGTCTCTTTGCGGCTGAACGTAGGCGACACCAAGCTGACCCTTTCTGTGCTGTAGGTGACAGGCGAGCTCCCGTCCATCACAAGTGTGTTTTCACACACTCTATCCCCACACTCCAGCTCGCCAGAACAAGTGCTGCTCACCACCACAGCCCCAGCTAGCACACCTCGAATCTGACCCTGCGCTGCCCCCTCCTCCAGCTTTGCAGACAGCTCTTGCTGGGAGTAGAACACACCCATGCGTCCACTGCCCGGCGTCTCTGGCCTCTCCATGGCTAGAAGCAGGTCCACATCCGATGTCCCCATCACTGGCTGTACACAGAGTATGTGAAGAGGATCCTGCTGCCCTGGTGACCATTTCCATCCACCTAGTCCCCGTAACGTTAGCTTAATTTGGCTAAGGTAGCGACTAAGTAAGTCCTCTGGAGACAGCAAGTTGAAACGTAGGGTCAGAGCGCTACGCAACATGACATCTGTCACTTGTTCGACCTGGATGGAAACATCAGCTATCACAGCGAAACGTCCATCGCTCACTGTAGCGTTCATCTGGTACCTGAGAAAAGGCAAGAAAACATACTGAATTGTTACACCAAAAAGTTTTCCATATCAGTGTTTTGTTTTCCTG